GTAATAGTAACTCTAGAGACCCGTGGATTCGATATTTATTACTTGAGCCACTATACTGCAGTCTCTTTCATTGGTTACACTTGCCCTTTGTTAGGAGTTGTGTCGTTGCGTGTCAACCAGCGCATGCTATATTTGAAGTCTGTGCCATCGATCATTCCTAGCTTATCTTGCTACTATCACGTCTGAAACAATTCTCCCATATGATGAGTGTCTCTTTACTTTCATGTATAACTAAAACGGGACCCTATTACAGAAAAACACTATAAAAAAATGATAGTACATTACTGAAATACTAGAAGAAAGATATACATAATATTGCCAATTATAACAACAAAATCGAAAATAGGCAAATTTAGTATAATATTAGTAATCATGAAGATAACAAAACTGAAAACATCCCAGTATAGTATAATACCAGTAATCATGACAAAAACAAAACTGATATGCTTTGAGAAAATTGTTCATCAAAAGGGCCATTTCTTACCTATAAAATCTCTTGAAGATCGGTCAAGTAAGCACAAGACAACTAGTAAAATAATCTTATAAGTATAATGTACTAGTTGCTCTCTTTCAGAAGGTATTCCAACAAACAAACTAGCTTTTATTCTCTTTATAGCCACAAAGAACCATTCCATTTCCCATGGTAACAACTACACAATTGCCAGAACCCAATTCACGGATCTCCTCCAGGTTGTCACTTCTTGGTCTACGCATAAAAAAAGAACCTATCATTTGTACTAAAGTTCACAAATGATTAAAGTAGAAAGTAACAAAATAACAAAAGATAGACACATTACACTAATGATTGTGTATGCGAGAAGAAGCATGTTTAGAGTTCCTATATACAGGATAAGAAAATACATATAGTGAGATGATGTTCTTTAAATATCACGATTTTAGTTTGCTGGTCCAACTCAACTACTTTGATAGCCTGCTGAATAAGAATGTTAGCTTTGAAGTCCACTATCCCATCTTTTAGTGGTCAGCTTTAGTTAAATGGAGAGTGAAATAGTGATGATAAATACGTTAATTTATTATAAGCCAAACAAATAGATCAATGTACTAACTAAATGTCTTCTGCATCACATGGCGGAATCTATAGATGAAGGACTGGCTGATAGAAAACAAAGGAGAAGTTTACAATATTGTTGGGGACTTTTTCATCCTAGGCACCAGCGCATGCTATATTTGAAGTATGTGCCATCCAGTACAATAGCCAATCCATATGAAGAAACATCGATCATTCCTAGCTTATCTTGCCACTATCACGTCTGAAACAATTCTCCCATATGATTAGTGCCTCTTTACTTTCATGTATAACTAACACGGGACCCTATTACAGAAAAAACACTATCGAAAATGATAGTACATTACTGAAATACTAGAAAATAGATATACATAATATTGCCAATCATAGCAACAAAAATCGAAAACAGGCAAATTTAGTATACTGATAGTAATCATGAAGATAACAAAACTGAAAACATCCGAGTATAGTATAATACCAGTAATCATGACAAAAACAAAACTGATATGCTTTGAGAAAATTGTTCATCAAAAGGGTCATTTCTTACCTATCGAATCTCTTTGAAGAGCAGTCAAGTAAGCACAAGACAACTAGTAAAATAATCTTATAAGTATAATTTACCAGTTGCTCTCTTTCAGAAGGTCTTCCAACAAACAAACTAGCCTTTATTCTCTTTATAGCCACAAAAGAACCTTTCCATTTCCCATGGTATCAGCTCCACAATTGCCAGAACCCAATTCATGGATCTCCTCCAGGTTGTCTCTTCTTGGTTGCGCATAAAAAAAGAACCTATCATTTATACTAAAGTTCACAAATGATTAAAGCAGAAAGTAACGAAATAACAAAAGATAGATACATTACACTAATGATTGTGTATGCGAGAAGAAGCATGTTTAGAGTTCCTATATATAGGACAAGAAAAAACATATAGTGAGATGATGTTCTTTAAATATCACGATTTGAGTTTGCTGGTTGACACGCTAAAACACAATACCAAATTGCGACAAAGTGTAATCGCAATCCGGAAATGCAGTAAAGTGGCAAGCTCTATTTGTCAACCCGGGGTCTAGATCTACTGCCTACTCCGTGATTATCTGTTATCTAGCAAACCAAGTCGAGTGATTGTGTTTTTAACTAAAAGCAATAAGAAAGCAGGAAATGGTTCAAAGTTCTTTAGCAAGGGAAGAGTCACTCGGGATTGAGTCCCCCTAGCTCCTTAATTAGGTCAAGGTTGTAGTTACCCTGGGTTGATTAACTGTTGAATAAACTGCGGAAGATCGGACAGTAGCTTGGAATCTCTTAAGCTCACCAAGTCCTCTCAGGCATACTAACCGGCAGGCGACTAGCCTTCACCTGGATAGACAGCTGAGGCAATAAGCACAGAACTCCACTATTGGAATTGGATTCCAGTACAAAGCAGTAAATCGATTAACTCTCGTATAACCAATCTACCACTACCAATTGATGAAGCTCTAACAACCTAATCAGATTCTATATATCTCAGGTTGCAGCAGAAATCAAGAAAAGATGATCAGACTTCAATTAACTCAATGAATCATGCATCAATCGATTAAAATCAATCTGTATATCAATCCCAAGTCATTACAATCAAGATTCCTAACACATGGAACTAGGGTTCTTCATACCCAAGTGAGAGAAGGTTCTACTCCATAGAGAAGAGAGAGACTGTAGAAATCTGATCTGGATCTTCAATCTTCATCTCAAAGATTGATTCTCGAGCTCCAATGGTGAATAAATCCTCCAAAATAGCTCCAAGAATGATCCCAAGTCCCTCTCTCTCACTAGGGTTCATCCCTTGGGTGTTTGGGATCCAAAACCCAGCTCCTCCTCTCCAAAAATCGCAAAACATCTTTTATACCCGCTGAGATTTGCACCCCCTACCTGCACGGCCGTGCAAATTGGGGTTTTGGCCGTGAAAACCCCCTGGAAAACTCACACGGCCGTGCAGAATTTTACACGGTCGTGCACAATTTCTAACTTGCACTCCTAAGCTTTGTTGAGCTCGTTTGACCTCCGATTCAGGCGCCGTTTGACTCCAGATGCTCGTAGTCTCATCTTCTTTCTTTTCCTGAAAAGATTACATGATTCTTTGTCAATAAAATGAGGTAGAAATCCCTTCCTCCTCAAGTCATTCCCGAGTTTCTCCCCCCGAGTCGCCAATTGATCTTCGTTTGACTTGAAACTTGCGCCTAGGCCTCACTTTACATGCTAGGACCTGAAATGGGACAAAGGAACACAACCTAGCATAAAATAGGCCAAACTAGGATAAACACCAAGCTAAACAATCAAGGAATGAGGGGTAAAACATGTGTAAATATGTATCCATTTAATTCGACATAGTAGAATTCCATGCAACAAATTGGTAAGTCGCCAGAAAGTAACCTAACTAAGAAAATATAACCTCGTCTCATAATAAAGCATCATGATTTCTAGGTGTATTTGGGCATGGAGGCAGAGGCAGACGAAGAAGCAGCGGCGACATCGTCGGTTGGTTAGTTGACATCAACGTCGAGCTCTAGAATCAGAAAGACATTAGCAAGCCGATCCATGTTCCTTATTTCTCTTCTGTTGCTTTGGATTTCTGGCATCTACTCTCAAATGGATGGTCCATCTAGCACAACAAGTAAATATTCCAAACGAATATGAGAGAAAGTGATAGTGAATACCCTAACTGAGAGAATCAAAACTGATTTCAGTCGGAGTTTCAAGCTCTGTCAAATTTCACAAACAACTACCAGAAAGCTGGTATTTCTCCACTAAACACTAAATGCCCTCTTTCTGAAACTTGGAAACAAACTGCCTATGATGTATCATAGTGCCGCTGGCACCAATTTACTTCTACAAACTAATTTAAGGGGGAGGGAACACCCATCAAGAGAGAGATGATATACATGTTAAGAAGAGACCAAAAGATAACACCATTCAAAAATGAAACAAAACAACTTCTTTGCTTATCTTGGAATAGCCATTAGGCATATCTTGCACCACACAGGCAGAAGGAAGCCGATAACTTATCTGCATCGCAAAACAGAGAAGCCACTTATGCATTGCAAAATAGAGAAACTACTTATGCATAAAAAAACCCAGAAACTTTACAAGGAAAAGACTGAAGTTCTTTTCCCATTCTCTGTTTTACGATGCAGATAAGTTGTTTAGTATCTAGAACCATGCTTGCCACACATGAAACTTCATTTTTGAACCCCAGCTCCAACAAACATGAGAATGCAAACTCCAGTATAAGCATAAAACAAGTTCTACAAACTTCCAGCTATAAGCATTCGAAAAACATATCCAGGCATTTATAAGTGACTTCACCTACAGCTCATGGGATAAGGCTTATGAGAATGAGGAGCAAAAGCAATGAACCATCAAACATATATCAAGATTTGGTTGCTTGCAATTCCATAGCAGTGAGTTCTCGAGAAAAGGCACCGCCAACCAGTTCTCTAATAAATTACCCCATGTCATACCTTGTCTATATTTTGGGAGAAGGTCACCACTATAAAATTCCCAGCTGGCGCTAATTAGGGTTTTATCCTTATAGCTCGCGGCTTCTTCCCAATCTCTCTAATCGAGATTCTTCAACTCGTTGTCGAATATGGAAGAGAAGAAAAGGATGTAGACGAATAGTAAGAGATCAAGAGAAGCTGCCTCGAGCTATGAAGCTGATTTTTATTAGCTCGCTAGCAAGGGTTTCTAAACCCTTGATAATGGCCGCTGGGATGATGAGTATCTGAATTGCTAGCAAGGGTTTATTGAGCCCCTGCTACACAACCGTTGGCAAAGCCCCAATTTTTTGTAGTGTCTTTATTTCTCATGAGGAATAGGGATCTTTATGTTGTTAGGGAATATGAAGGCAAAAAACAAAGTTGTATATGCAAAGACTATTGGAGCTGCTCAGTATGCTTGGGGATGGTATAGGAAGTGGGAGTTCAACCGGTGGAACGAGCCCATAACACATTCATCTTTATCTTCTGTAACATTCCGACGTTTGGGTTTGGGATCGAACTTAATACGTGATAACGATGTAATTGCACGTATTTGCACCCCTAGTTCTTATCCGTTTGAGGGGCATAGTCGTGTATTTTTGGCCTATTTTACGCCGGGTTGTGCTATTTTGTCATATTTCAGGTCCCAGGCGTCAAAGGAAAGGCTAAGCACAAGTTTCGGGGCATTCGGAAGTCATTCGGTGGAGCTGGAGCCAAAACACGGGCACACCTAAATCAGAACACGGCCGTGTTCCTAGGCCGTGCTTTTACTGCCGAGAGCTGATTTGAGTTTGGCAAACCCGAGCTAAAAACACAGGCAGGGCTGAGAAATTACACGGCCGTGTCCACCCAAAAGCACGGCCGTGTTTCTCCCAACAGGCTGGCCGTGTAATTAACCCTAGCCAAAGCACGGGCGGGCTGGAGCAAAGCACGGCCGTGCCTTGCCCAGTGATGCCCTTTTAAGCAGATTTCAGCAGAAAGAGAAGGGGATTCGAGTTTTGAGAGAGATAGAGCGATTCCTAGAGAGAGAAAGCGACGAACAAGAGTCTCCAAGTGCCCTAACTTGATCTTCATCACCATTGGAGCTTGGATTGAGCTTGGAGGAGTGCCAATCAACGTCCAGGAGCAGGAATCCATCCTTCACAGTATGAATTCCGCGTCTGATTCTGCTTTTGCTTCTTTCTCCATGGAGTAGTTCTCCCATTCATCTGGGTATGGAGAACCCTAGATTTGTATGTTAGGTTTGATTGTATGAACCCAAGTACTGATTCCATGATTTGATTATATTCAATTAAGGTTTGAATGATTGAATGGCATGAATCCTGATCAAATTCCTGTTGTTTCTGCTTTAACCTAGAATGAGAATATCTGCCTAGGTTGATAGAGCATCCTTGATTGAAGATAGGGAGTTGGTGACTTTAGTCGAAGAGCCAACTCACTATTCTGTACCGGATTCACTCCGGTAGTGGAGGTTTTGTTTGTTAAGGCCTCAATCTGTTTACTCCGGTGGAGGTTAGTCGCCCGCTAGAGACTCAGATTGAGAGGGTCTGAAGACCTTTAGTCGAGACTTCAGGCTGTTTGAGAACCTTCCGCAGTATAACTATCATAGAAACTGAATTTGGTAATTGCAATCCGGCTTAACTGCAGTCTAGGGGGAACCATATCCGGGTGACCTCTCTTAACCTGAATACAACCGTTTACTTGCTTTGTTAGTTTGTTAGTTTAGACTTGCATTAAAGTTTCATTGCTAGATAACAAGAATTCACCGAGTAGTCATCAAATCTAGGACCCGGGTTGACATTTAAACCCAAACCCGCTATACTACGCTTTAGGAAGTGGTTTCACTTGGCCAATTCCTAGAGTGACAGTAGAAGTGAGTCAATACGTGAATGATTGGATTAACGGTTACATACTAAGATTTGCAGCCGTGGATTAGGAATAATAATAATAATAATAATAATAATAATAATAATAATAATATATTATTATATTATAGTTATAAAAAAAATCAACTAACTATACTCGCCCGAAAGGGCCGAGCGGCCCACATTTCCCCCAAAACCCACGCCGTAATCTTGCTTTTGTCCCCAAAACCTAATTTCCCCAATTGAATGAACAAGAGCAGTAGGAGAGAATCCCCCAGGCGCTCGAGTAAACTTCCTCACCACCGGCATTTCGTACGTCGCCCTTGGTTTCAGAGCAACACCGAAATTTTGAAACCCCTCCCAAGCGTCCCATTCCACCCCGCACATCGCCTCTCCAATTCCACGCGAGACAGGGTTGTGAGAATAAAAAGGTAACCCGACTCGTTCATGTGCCCTAGTCCGGTTGCTGTGACAATTGAGGGTTTGAACATCGATCAACGAGGAGATCAACGTCCCAGGTCATACAATCAAGTCCTAGGCACGTTCTAGAGGTAAGGGAACTCGATCCCTTTGAGTTAGATCGATTAATTTGGGGATTTTTCGTGAGGGTGCAATTCTGGATTTTAGCAACAGACCTTACTGGCTTTTAGTGACAGATTTTGGGTGGTCACTAAAGCTGCTGGAAATTTCCAAAAACATTTTTTTTAGATGTTTTAAATTGTCTCGAGCCTCTTTAGGTGTTGGTTTCTGGATTTAACAATTTTATAAATTGATGGGCGTCTAGGAGAAAGTTGTGATTTAATTTGAGGATTTTTGAAGATGTATTACTAATTTTAGAAATTGGTCAAATATTCTTTTTAATTAAATAAGATTCTTTCCTAGGGGTTTTAAAGGGTTCGATAATTTTCCAGGGTATAGGTTCTCACGATTGACATGGGAAAATTATCATCCAAATTATTAAGAAGGTTCAAGTTAGGTGAAAAATTCGTCCAAGACTAAACTAATTAGGAAAAATGGTCGGTTTTGAAGGAAAAATTCGTCCTCAAAGACTGGATTTTGAGGAGAGGATGTTCTAGTGTTTAAAAAGGAGGTTTTAAATCGAGAAAGGTCGTCTAAGAAAATGTATTCTTAATAATAGGTTTCCCGAGATAATTCGGCTAAGGAGGGATATCTTCAAGGAAGGAATCGAGGAGTCATCTTTTCTAGGTGAGTGTAAAGGGGGTAAAATATCTGTCGTAGATCTTTTAGTTTATGCTTTTCGTTCAAGTTATTATTAGTTAATTTTTGAGTAATGCGCGATATGTGTGTGAGGCATCCCACCGCCTACTTAAGGGTGGAGGCACCCGTTGTGCTATGTAGGTGAATGTGTATGGTTGTTGGTAATTGAACCCCCAGGCGGTTGGGCCACTACTGGACGCGGTAGATGGTCGGGTCACTGCTGGAAGGCGAGACGTAACGCAACAGTTGATCGGGTATGTTTGGGTCACTACTGGACGACGAGACGTAACACAGTTTTTGACCGGGCATGGACTGGACGGCGAGACGTAACGCAACAGTTGATCGGGTATGTTTGGGTCACTACTGGACGACGAGACGTAATGCAGTAGTTGACCGGGCATGGACTGGACGACGAGACGTAACAAAGTGTCATTGCCGAGTTGGGTATGCAACCGGACGGCGAGACGTAACGCGGTTGGCATACTAGAGTAGGGACACCAGACGGCGAGACATAACGCGGTGGTCCCTAATGTTGGTGTCTATGGATTAAGGATATAAGTAAGGAAATTCTAAAGATAAGATAGGAGTAGAGATCTCTTATAGACTGTTTGATAACAAAGTATAAAGGATGAAAGCGAGAACGGCTTTTGTCTAAGTCAAGAACCCTACTAACGTGTTTAGTAAGGCGTTTCTTAGGGCGAATACCTTAGGAAGTAACGACGAGACTGACCCCTTCTCACTCACCAGGTGTAGAGAGGGGAAGAGGATGCATCCATCAAGAGGAGGTTACCCGAGGAGAGCAGCCGCGGCAAACCTGAAGATGTCAACTGGATATGGGTAACGAGATGGGACCTCCCATTATATCTGTCTTTAGTTTCATGTCTTAATGAGTATACTGGGAAACTCAAAGATTGTGTTTTAAGTTTTGTCGCTCTGGATTGAGGTCGCCCAACTGTTTAGAGCATTTCACTTGAGAATCTTGAACATTGTTGTTGTTGATTTTTGGTTTTGACTTGTAAACCTGTTTCGGGTTGCTCCGGAGTAACCGGTTTATGGTTTGAGTTATGGTTTGGTTTTCAAAAATGATCGGGTCGTTACATCTTCTAACTAGCTTTTGCCCGACCCGTTGGTCGGATGAATTCATTGTATTTGTCACTATTATATGATAATCACCTTATTAGAGATTTGATGCTAGAACTTCATGTTGTTTCCTTGTTTCACCTGCACATGCGCACACACGACTTTTCTAGGTCTGTTAGTCCTTCTGAAGTCAATTCAAGATCTGCTCTAGAGAGATAAGTGGTATTTCAAGTAGGGATTTTTAAGCATGGTGAGTAACTTCCTGGACTCACTCTTTCATTGATGCTATGTTAAGTGTGCCTAGCCTCATATATTAATCTCCCCTAACACAATTCATTCATATTTTCAAATGATTTTGGGTAAGCTCAATTGTTTACTAAAGAGTCAAAAGTATGTTTGTACAAATTGATACTTTTTACATTGATAATAATTATTTCATATGTAATTTTCTTGATCGGTTATCCTAAGATACTTTGTTTCTTTATTAAATTCAACTAGAACTAAGACAATTATACATTAAATAGTAATGACAAACTTCAAACGATTAGCCTATTGCTAATATGTAAGCATAAAATTCACCATCTAAAGGGTTCAAACTTTATAGTCAACAAGATAACAGTAAAGAATACAAATTATGAAATATTAATTTATTAGTAACTAATATATCTTTAAAAAGATTGGGAGTTGTTAAGAGCTAACATTAATATATGATGATAGTTTGGGTATGGGTAAATGCCACATTTGGTTATTGGGATTACTAAATCGTGTTATGTTTAGTCATTAGAAAAAATTAATATCAATTTTGGTCACTTGAATTACTAAAACAGGTCACATTTAGTCACTCTCCCGTTAGCCTCCATCCAACTCCAGTCACTCGAGTTACTTTTTTTTATGAATGTCACTCGAATTACTGAAACATGTCACATTTAGTCACTCTACATTAGCCTTCGTCCAACTATATTAACGGAGTTGGACGGAAACTAACGGGAGAGTGACTAAATATGACATGTTTCAGTAATTCGAGTGACCAAAATTGATATTAATTTTTTCTAATGACTAAACATGACATGATTTAGTAATCTCAGTTACCAAATGTGACATTTATCCGTTTGGGTATTATAATCGTCAAATTTCAAATCTTCTAAATATCTTTTAGAATTTTGATTAAACAAAGCACATGGCTCAAACATAAAATCAATTTTTGTGAAAATCGAATTTTCTAAAAAAAGATCATGCTTTATGGAAAAAGAAAATCTTTCAAATTTAAAATCAATATATAGGGCAATGATATAATATGAGTTTACTGTTGCATTTGGTATATAAAACCAACACTATGAAATTTGTTAACTCACACATTTGGAGATCATAAAAATGTATATTAAAGATGTGGATCAATGGGTAAAAAGTTTTTGCCAACTTTATTCGTCTATTGATTTAGAAACCTTGTGCATGAGTTGAGATGTAGATTGGGTGGGTTTGCTTCAATTAGCTCAAAGCTCTGCTGAGATTCTTATATCTTATCTCGCCCGAAATAACATGGGGTCCGGATCTCAACCTCTAAAAGTAGACGAATTTGTTCTATTGAATCTTATATTAGCTAAAATAAGAAATTGAATCATGGCGAAGGTATAAGAAAATTTTAGAATATTTAGATTGAAGGTGATCTTGCGTCATTTATTGAGATGCTAATGTGCATTGAAGGGTGTTTGTACAACTTGCTTCATGTTTTCAGTTTAGTTACTGTCGATTTTGTCGTATGTTGAAGCAATTTATGATGCATTGCCGTTACCCAATGTAGAAGAAGCGGAAAAGAAAGAACTTTGTCATATGTTCTATTCAACTAAAATATGCTGCTAGATGAGAGACAACATTGGTTTGAATTTTATTGATGGTGAGAGATGGAGAAGAAGCGGAAAAGAAAGATAGAAAATGGGTTAGAAGGAGATGTTATGTGACTATTTATTTGTCCCTCTTAATTTTCCTTTTTTGTTGGTGAATATTTCCCGTCTTTTTGTTTCTTTCTTTTTTTATTTAAGTTAATTAGCATAAGACGCAAAAAAACTCCAAGTTGTCAAGTTAAGACAAAAAATATCACGTTAGTGTATCCAGTTTATATAGTCAACATAGGTACGATGGTGGTGTTAAGTTTAACATATTTAATGTATGGAATAACTATATTTGTAGTATAAAAACTGACTACTTTTGTCACAAAGGTCGGCGTTTTGGTTATGCATTTTTCAAGTATTGAAATCCATACCATATCGACAGTTCAACCAGAAAAACCTCATACCAAAAGCAAAACCAGTAGGCGGTATGAAACGGTTGAGCCACGATTAAACCATGGTTTCAGCATTAAATACTTTACCGCTGACTTTACCGGTACACATTTTCAATCATTGGTGTTCTGTCTAAACTAAAAAACAAGTACAACTAAATATTTAATAATAAAATAAGCTTTACTTGAGTTTTTATTTCAAGATTAATTTCACTCTATAAGATATCACTAACTTCAAATAAAATATAAAAATCATATACCAAATATGTCTCTACTGTTTAATTAAAGAAATTGCAACAAATACAATGTAGTTTAGTTGCTTTTACTTTTAATTTTATATTTTTATATGGGTGATATAGATTTATTCTTTGTAGTCTAGTTGTTTATAAACTTATAATACTTTTTCTTCGTTTGAGCAACATGATTTCAAATCTCAATAATCAACTTTTTAAAATATAAACTAGCTTGTTGTCTAACCCGTTGGTCGGAATGTTATTGAATACAATGTATGTATGATGTGTATTTAAAAATTTTGAATTACTTGAAATGCTGAATTTCGTATGACAATTAGGTGACATCAAAATTATTTTTCCATTTTCAAAATTCTTATAACTTTTCATCAATGATGAACATTGTAAGCTTAATTGTTATAACCAAAGTTTTCAAACCGGTTCAAGTTGTTGAGCCGGTCAAGCAAGTAATTTGAAGTTTAATGGTTTGATTGAGGTCCAACCTGTTTGAGCCGTTTTACACCTTTACTAAATATATTTACATATTTTTTTATTTTTTTTGCATGAAGGGAGGCAAAAAGCCAGGAACAAGAAACAAAGAGGTGGGAGAGAGATTACAGACTAGTCGTAGCAACTACACTACGCTCAAAAGTAATGCCCATTACATCGTCTTGCATCAGGCTAGTCACCCCGTTAGGAGGGTTAACAAGTTCAAACATACCGTAGGGATAGATGAGACTATGCTTCGAGAGCCAGTCCGCGACTCTATTCTCTTCGCGATATGTATGCCCAATGTTAACCAACCAATCTTGAGTAAGGCGCCTTCTGATAGCCCCCAACAAAGAAGCATGAGGATGGAGGGGGTCCACGTCCACCCTGTTCTTGAGCCACTGGACAACCAACTGAGAATCCTTTTCAACCTCCAGGCTATAGCACCCATGATTCCAAGCGAGATTCAGGCCATGGAACAAAGCCCACAGCTCTGCCAACGCCGCCGTGGCCTCCCCGATCTGCGCAACGAAACCAGCCCTCCAACGTCCCTGCTCGTCACGGATCACCCCACCGGCCCCGCCTTTCCCGGGTTCCCTGCTGAAGCGCCATCAATGTTCAGCTTCATCCAACCTCTACGCGGGGGCACCCACCCAATGTTGGCTATCACCCGAGCAGCTGCCGAAGTAGAAGACCGAAGCATCGCAGAACTATCTGATTGCCAGGAAGCATGCCACAGATTGGCCTTGTAAATAATGGCATGCTCCAGGGAGGGATCCGAGAGAATGCTAGTCAAGCCCTCAAAGCACCCCTTGCACCTGCTCTTCCAGAGAAGCCAAATGGTTGTCGCAAAGAAATCATTCCATGCCATCCCCGAGCTAGTGACCTCATCATTAAGCAAATTTTGCCCGATCCACTCTTTTGTACTTGCCAAGAAGAAAGCAGACTAATCCGCAGAAGGGACCTGCTTATTCCAGAAATAAAGAGCAGGCGGGCAATCCCTTAGAACATGCAAAATAGATTCAGGAATACCATCACACCTGTAGCAGTGTGGGGAATGGGCGCACTTCCTTGAGAATCGGAGCTCATTCGTAGCGATCCTACCCAAGGCCACCATCCAGCAGAAGCATCGAATCCTCTCAGGGACTTGAAGGCGCCAAATCTTCTGCCACAGCTTCTCCTCCGGACTGGTACGCTCAGTGTACGTCATAAGGTAGGCTTACTTTGCCGTGAATCTTCCATTGGGAGAGGCCGCCCAGAAAAGAGTATCGGGAGCCGCTGAAAGGGGATCCACCGCAATTGCTGTGATTTTGTGAACAATCTCCTCTGGCAGCCAATGCTCCAAACGGCTGGTATCCCATCTGCCTTCTGGATCCACATAATCAGCAACCCTCTCCAAGAGCATCTCATCTGTAACAGGCTGAAGCGCCACCGTCATTAGGGGAACCTGCAACACCCAAATGTCCCGCCAAAAATTAGAGCCCCTGCCATTATGAATATTCCACGCAATGCCTTTCTTAAGAATATTAGAAGCTTTATTGAAGCTCCTCCAGGCAAAGGAACTTCCCTGACAGTGGTGAAGCATGTCCAGCGCCTCTCTCTGTTTCCATACTTGGCTCTCATGAGTTGAGTCCAAAGGTTGTCATTCTCTGTCAGCAAACGCCATCCTCCTTTGGCGAGAAGGGCCAGGTTGGCCTGTCTTGTAGCACGCAGCCCAGCTCCGCCCAACCATTTTGGTTTCGTCAGCTTTTCCCACGCAACAAGATGCATCTTCCCTTGGCCCTCCTCTTTACCCCAGACAAAATCCATGTTTACCTTATCAATCGAATTGCAAACATTAACGGGAATGAGCTCAGTATGCATAGGGTAAGTAGGTATGGCAGAGGATACAGCTCGAACAACGGTCAGTTTGGCAGCTAGAGAAAGCCGCCTCGTCTTCCAAGGCTCCAATTTCTTCTTGATCCTGAGAACCAAGTCCTGGTACCGGGTCTTCGTGATCCTTCCGTGAATAGTCTGAATGCCCAAATATCGGCCAATCTCATTAGTGAGAGGAATGCCAGCCCTGCCGCTAAGCCTTTGAGCTTTCTCCTGATGAATATTCGGCGACACCCACATAGTCGACTTCGCGTAATTCACCCGTTGGCCCGAGCTCTCACAAAATATATTTACATATAAGATATAAATTAAGTGACTAAAATGGAATGTAATAACTTATATCTATTAAAAACTCAAATTCCATAAGAAAACATGCTTATTTCAAGACCCACCCACCATCCTCTTGCCTCTCTCTATCTCCCTCCCCTTCCCTCTCTCTTCTTCTTCCTCTTTAACGATTGGACACTTGGTTTTGTGGAGACGGTTTTGGAACACTACTTTGTTCAGACCTAGTCCAACCAGCCGTCAAGTAGATGTGTAACAACCTTGGTTATAAAACTCGTGAATAACCATTTATATCTTGTCAATTTAATGATGTATTCACTCTGAAAAGAAAATTGACATAACAAAATTTAATGTTGTATTCACTCTGAAAAGAAAATTGACATAACAAAAAAAGAGTTTGTCTAAAAAAGCG